TCCTATTCACCCATTCTACCATGTATCTGTATTTCTTGTTCACCATGGAATAGACTGCTCATACCATCTTTAAGTTTGTATGTGACCTGAATAGTAAAATTAAAGGGAATGTTTGCTAAAGGTAAATGGACTGAAAGATGAATTGACTACACATTATTAATCAAAGAGTAAGTTAACTAATGCAGTTCAATGCTGTTACTAAAATAGAAAACAGGTCAAATTGCCAATTGTTCTAAATGATCACGGTTCTAAATGGCATAACACCCAAACTGAAACTAATGTAGCTTTGAACAGGGTGTGTGACAGTTTGCATTTCAAATGGTGGCTGTAACTAAGGATACTTGCAATATTCATTTTGTCCTTACACATTGAGAATGTGTGGGAGGCATAAGCAAAGTTACTATTTCTCAATTCTAGCAAAGCTAGATAAAATTGGCACTGTTTATTGATGGCAAGCTGCATAACTAAGGCTGTCTTCATCTTCTGAATAAAATAAACAGGCACAGAGCAAGATGATGTTTTTAACAAATTATTTTGATTTATTTCTGTTGTGCCATTTTCCTCTTTATCCTTCCTTTCTCCCCCCAACTACACCATTAATTACACATAGAGCAAATCTTTGAGCTTATGTTACTGCACATGAAAGCAACAATTTAATTTTCATTATAAGATAATAATGTGAATTACAGTACTTTAAATTCCTAAAGTTGAGTGTAGCTGCACTGAAAGATAGTGGTTAGTGGTGTACTGTCCTGTTTTACAGTTTGAGCAATAGAGTGCAGTAATTATGAGCATTTATATAATGTCTTTTAATGTTGTAGAACAAGGCTTTTCAAGAAAATTAATCAGACAAAATTTGCATTGAGATACATATGGCAATATTAGCACATAAAGGGTAGATTTTAAGGAGAATTGCAGGAAAGTCACAGATGAAATGGAAACAGGAAGAGGCCACACAGACCTTGAATCTGTTCCATTATTATTTATGATACCAAGGTTAATATTTTGAGATCTACTCAATTTTTCTACTGTTTCCTCACATCTCTTAGATACTTTTCTGAGAAATTCCAAATATTGACAACCTTCAAAAAGTAAATAATTATAAACTCTGTGCTAAATGGCAGACCGCTAATCCTAGTACAATTAACCCTAATCTTGGACCCTCCAAACTAGGGAAAATTGCTTAAACTTTGTCAAGAGTCAGTACGGTGTGGAGCTGGAGAAATACAGCAGGTTAGGCAGCATCAGAGGAACAGGAAAGTTGACGTTTCGGGTTTAGACCCTCCTGATGAAGGGTGTAAACTCGAAACACCAACATTCCTGCTCCTCTGATGCTACCTAGCCTGCTGTGTTCCTCCAGCTCCACACTGTATTGACTCTGACTCCAGCATCTGCAGTTCTGGCTATCTCTGATAAACTTTGTCAAGGCTTTAATGGATTTTATATTGTTCAATAAGATCCCTTCATATTCTTCTAAACTCTAGGAAATATAGGTCCACACTGACTCTCCTTTTTGATGTGCAACCAGCCTCTTTGCAATTCACAAGTTTCACGTTTTTTTCACATATTTCCAAGTTTCATGCCATCTGCAAATTTTGCAGTGTGCCCTGTACAGCGAAGTCTAACTCGCTAATATACCTCAAAAGGAGCAGTGATCCTAACACTGAGCCCTGGGCAGGCCATTGTGAATACTCCTCCAATCCAAAAAGCAATTATTCACCAGTATTCACCATTTCTGAAGAAGGGTCCAGACCCGAAACGTCAGCTTTCCTGCTCCTCTGCTGCTGCTTGGCCTGCTGTGTTCATCCAGCTCTACACCTTGTTATCTCATATTCTCCAGTACTCCCTGTTCCCTGTCACTCAGTCAATTTCATGTCCATGTTGCTACTCTCCCTTTTATATGAGTTTTAACTTTGACAATCTGTTGTGCAGGTCTGTATTGAATTCCTTTTGCAAAGCATTGTTGTCATCAACTTTTTCAGCTACCTTATCAAAAACGTCAAATAGTTGTTCAAGTTTTACAGAACTTGAGTCTTTCTGAAAAATGACTCATTTGTTGCGGTTTTTCATCTTGCACTCATCACGACAATTCACAAGAAATACCAAAATAAAGGGAAAACAACTTTTATACTGAATGGGAGGATAGCACTGATTGTTAGGTAAGTGAACTTTGATTTGTGGAGGCATTGTCCTGGAGAATGCACTTTGTTAAAATTTTAAACAAAGCAGGCTGATTGATCAGGGCATTGCCCTGAGAAACAAACCAGAGAATAGCTGTCACTATTTTGTTGAGTTGAAACAGGCATACTGCATGTAATGTTCAATCTGTCTGCAAAGAACAGAGCGCTGTGTATTTATATATGTAGCTTCCAGCACATAGAGGTGTGCCTCTATTTGCTGATTTGCAGATAGGCCAACAATATGGCAGCAAAATTCTTCACACACTGAAGATTATTATATAGCCTAAAAGTTTTTTTCTTCTCTTTATTTTGATTTTTCTTGTGAATTGGCTCTGAGTACAAGAATAAAGGCTTCAACAAAACATGTTCTTATTTTCAACAATACTAAAAAATGTCTTTATTTTAAGTATTATAAATTCCAGACCCTGCATGATGCCCATTCTAATCAAATAAGTACATTTTACACCATTGATAGATGAGAGAAATTTTAACATGGAGGAATATGTCACTTTTGGCAAGTGTGTGGTTTTAACGTTGGCAAAATATTGCATTTCCAGACATTAGCTCCAACTTGCCAACTTCCGCATTTAATTTGTGAGGCTTACTTACTAGATGATTGAATGAAACATGCCCAGGAGAGCTGGTTTACCCAAAAACATATGCTAATTATTCAAGCGAAGTGCAATTTCATTGAGCTTTTAAATTTTGTGATGATTGCTCAGGCTTGCTGGAATTTGCCACTGAAAGTAAAGCCAGAATAGTAACTTGATAGGGATGACTAAAAGTCATGTAAAGACTCCAGTAGTTCATTTCCTACAATTTGAAAGCTTCTCAAATCAATCAAAATAAGATGATTGGTACCTTGATTATCCTGAATTTTGGATGGGGACCAATATAATCATCAGTGGTCTCAAGATGCTAACAGGTATATTAGGCAGGTGACTGGATTGTTTGAGAGATTTGGCAATTGCATCGACTTTACCTACAGTGACACTAGTCAAAGAACAGATGCTCACAATCCTAATATTGTGTATTTTGTGTCCAACGAAGTGTGCTTGTGTGATAGCAACCATCCTGGTCGATACTGCTTTTAGGCATCACTGGTGACTGTCTGAACCACCAAACAATGAAAGTTCTTGCAACTATTGCAAAACATTTGTGACAAGTTGATTAAAATTACACTTGAGCTTACATTTCACAATCCTCAGCAAGTCTTTTAGTTTTTGTAATGTTTAAGCAGTGATCTCTGGGGACTGCTGGAAGCTGTTTCTTTAAAAAAAAGTTTTTTTTTAAACCTAGCTGAATGCAGAAAGGAGAATCAGCCTTCATATCAAGACTGTACCATGTTAGTAGTATTTGTCAGTAAGTTGTCAAACCAACGTGGGTTCAATTACATAAACAGTGCAAATGATTGAGCATTTTCTTGAGTCTAATGATTTGCTACACTCAAAAATTTGTTGCAATCCGTATTTTAGAGTGGTGATAGTACTGTATCACAATCTGAATTAAAATTCATCAAACCATTTACTATCCTGAGCAGTTACTTTTGCTATTGATATAGAGTCTGTGTAGTGCTGACGTTATATGAACGGCGCCTTTTATTTTGTCTTTGCAAACTGTGGATTGCAAGAAGAAATTTTAAAAAAAGGAGACAGTGATTTACCAAGATGGCAGCTTAATTTGACAGTAAGGAATTTGATACCTTTTGTGAACTCTTGTTTCTGTGGCTATAGGTTCCTGCAATGTGCTGAGGAGTTAATGACCAGTGAAGATAATTATTTCACAACTAGTTGAGCAAATTGGAATTGGAAAAAAGTTTCAGAGATACCCGCTTCAAAGAAAAAAAATACCTAAATGGCTGTGACGTTGATCTCCCCAGCAGACGCTATCTGTTCTCTGTAGTAAAAAAAAACTCTGTTTTAACATTGAAGAAAACCAGTTACCTTTCTTGCAGTGGTTGCTGTGACCTCTGAATTGATAAACCAGGGACAATCAAATCAATACATCTGTACTTCTTAAACGCCAGTAAAAACTTCCAGAAAAATACAACTGAATATCATGGGCCTGGCTAGCCAAACAGGATCATCTCGACATCAGAATAAGGGAGCAAATTCCATTGAACTGACTTTTCAGATTCTATTCTACCTCTGCCAATGATCTATTTTCCGTAATTATTTGTGTGTGTGTGTTGGGGAACGTTTATAATGGGATATATGTTTTAGTTACTAGTGTTATATGCTCCTGCTGATGGCTTATGTCTGTTTACTTGTAGCTATACTTTAATGACTGATAATAGATGATAATTCTTGTTCATTACAGAAACCTGGTCCATGATTTTTAGCAACCTTGGTCTGAAAGTCAGTTAAGGTGGGATACTGCGCATACATTAAAAATAAACTTTAGCATTTGGTATGACTGTCGGACTGGTGGGCCTCAATTTACAGAGCTATCCCAATGAGTTGAAACAAAGTGATTAGCTTTTAAACCGGCCAAATTTGAAGGAAAGGACGAATAACAGTGTTTCCATTTTAAAATATGAAAATACAGAAACAGAAAAGTGAATGAGAGACTCCAATAATTTTAAGCTCTCTCTATCTATATAGATGGCAACTTTGATAAATTTAACTTATTCTAACATTTACGCCAGGTTCTCATTATTTCCTGGAAGTGAAAAGACTGTGAAGTGAAGTGATAACAATTGTTGAAGGGATTCTGTGTTGGATGTAGCTCAAACTGAACATTATGAAGGCTAATCTGTCCAAATTAAGATCAAATATGTTTGAGAAATATCTTCTTATTGGATGCCTTTTCTCTCTACAGATAAATTCATAGAACCAATATATTGTTTGATTGCAAGGGTATCTGATGGCATGATAAAATCCAAAGAATCTTAATGCTTGAATGAAGAGATTACAGTTGGCAGTCAAAATCACGGAAATGTAAGTCTATAATTGTCTTAAATGTATGGATAGACTGCTTACTATAATTGAAGTATATATTGAAAGATATCGTTGTTATATCCATTTCGAGTACACCATGTACAATTTGTACCCTTCACTAAAAGGAGCTAGAAATTACTCTTTGCTTGAGCATGGAGAAGGTTGAATTTTTGAATACCGGTTATTTACTCCTTTGTTCTAGCCTGATAAATTTAAATATCTGTTTCTGATGCTCTTTCAATCTCATTGCTGACCCAGCCTACGGGGGGAGCACATGAGTGGCCAAATGAGCATCCAGTATTTTCTTTCCTTTGAGTGAAGCTCAAGATTATGTCTTGTCACTCTGTGTCTTCATACATCATAAGTTGGTGTTTTACTAGACCATGCTGCTCAAGAGACCTTTAATATAAAGCAGAAATTTTTATCTTTCTTACCCAACAGTTTTGAAACCTGCCCATCAACGATATTAAATTGTTGCCTTTACCACAGCTTTTCTTACAGAAAAAGTTCCTGGATTTATTCAGACATAACTATATGTATTTAAACTGCATTTTTTAAATGTAAAATTATGTTGTTGATCTTCCTCCTTAAGTCTAATGCCTTCTTGGAGTGACTATCATCTCTGGATTTCCTATTTTTAATCTAAAACTTGCGAGAACATGAACCTCACTGACCCCATAGATACCCAAGGCTAATCTGATGCAATTTGGCAGCCGGCTTGTAATTAGGTGAAATGTCCATTTTCCAAAGAAATTTTAATGATGGGAAGTGGCTGTTAGTTTGGAGACTTATGGGCTTTAATCGCGTGTGACAGTGGAAAGATCAGACAAACTCTTGTCCTCTGCCCATTAAATAATAACTAAGTCAAGTTCAGGTAGGTAGGCAGCGGGGAAGATACACATGGAATTAAATGGGCCTGCTTTCTTCCAAACCTGTCCTCAGGGCTTCTTAAAATTCTGCTCTTGTTTTTAGACCCTGACTTCCATGATTCAAATGTGAACGAGCAACTGCTGGATTTCTGCATACAGTTGCCTAGTAGAACCAAGCATCGAGTGGACTAAGCATTGGTCCTCAAAATGAAGCTTTGAGCAGATCATTTTGGCACAAAAAAACTTCTGAAAGTTGGAGTGGTCGTCCTCAGCCCACAAAAGCAATTCTGCCTTTTTTTTTAAGTCCCCATCTGGTTTCTCTCAACACTCAGAACCCAATGTGCCAACTAATTCAGAGTGTGACTGGTCAGTTTCCCTCTGCTTCCCACAGTAGGTGAGCTGTGTGAAGCACCTATCCAGAATCTGCAGCTCTCTGCAGATAGCATTTAAATGAGAGGCGAGCTGTAATGTGGTTGAGTTTTTCTTCCACTATCAACGTGCAACATCACAGGGAAAAGTGTTATTAGAACAAATCAAAGGTGTTTCCAAACTGCCTTCCTCTCCTATTTTTACCACTAAAATTACCCTTGGCGTCCACGAAATAAATCAAAAATATATTTGCATCTTGCAATTGACATGAAAAACCTCGCAAGTGTGCTACATGCATGATGAGAAATGAAGGGTAGATTAAAGCTAAACTATGTTAATCAGTATGCATCCTGTTCTGCAACTGAGAATTTGTTTAAATGGTAACACTGCTGCAGTGACTAATTTAGATAGCAAAAAAATTAAATGCTCTGACTAATCCTGTGATCCAAGGACATTTATGTAACAGATATTGGATTTTTCTTGTTTAACAAAGGGGTTTGATGTAACAGAAGTACAATGGTGGAAAACTCAAAGTTAACCTTTGCAAGTCCAAGCAGCATAAAACAAATTATTTAAATCAATGCCCTTGCAAAAACCAACAGAAGCTGTGGAGCTCCAAAGCAATTGTACAGTTTCTTTCAGACTGGCACCAGGCGAAGAATAACATTATAGTTCCTTACTTTAATGTACATGTGAAAGGACTGATGAATTCTAATGCATCTGTCGCATCATAGATTTTTTGTTGGTACTTTGAATGATGAAGGTCTCATCAGATGTATTGACTTGGAAAGGTTACTGAGCCTGAGGAGAAGTGGGATCTGAATGAAACTGCACTGTTGAAGCTGAAACATGCCTTGTTAATCCAATTCCCTGGATACTTGGGTTTAGCCTTTCCTTGCAGCCAGATACATGTGTTGATGACTGACTATCCACCTGTTAGTTCAATGCACTTACACAGTTGGGTTCAGTCATTTCTCAAAGTCAGGAGCCTCCACCCTTGGTGCATTTATTATCATCAACCATGGCTACCTGTTAGCGATTATTGATAGTAAAAAACAGCTCTTAAGTTTTAAAGGCACAGGCTGTGGTTTATATACATTCATCTACATTCGCTGATGTGTGTGCTATATACATCTAAGTGCTCCAAATTTTTATCCTCTGATCTGCACTAGTTGCTTGTAGTAAAAGGCTGCAGATATGTGTGAAATAACACATATTGTGAAGAGTTTCTGCCAGGCTACTACAAAACTACATGGCACTCAAAGGCATCATAAATTGACGCACAATTTGATGGATCATTAATTGGTGGGATTGATGCAAATTCAACTGAGCACTCCCCACCAATGTAATTACAGAAATAATAATGGGTCTGTGTTATGTAAAAATTGTGTTCCTTGATGGGACGGTATTTATATTTTTTTAAAAAAAGTTACAGAGCATCACTTATAGATATACAGTGGTCATAAAATAACATACAGCCCCTTACGTGCTTCACTCCTTACCTGATTGCAGGAAAAAAACACAGGAAAGTGGACGTGTGGAGCATTGCCTCAGCCATGATCCTATTGAATGATGGAGCAGGCTTGAGGTGTCAAAGAGTCACTCGACTCAAAACATTAAATGTTTTCCTCTGCAGATGCTGCCAGACCTGCTGAGTTTCTCCAGCAATTTAAGTTGTTGTGGTCTACCCCTTTTCCTAATTCTTGTGGTCTTCTGGTCCTATCAGTAGAAAGCAGCAATGTTGCTGATGGATTTTTACAGACTAAAGAGCAGAAGGGGTGAAATATAACAATATTTAATGCAATATGATGTGTGCATTGTATGATCAGTTTGGAGAAAGGCCAGCAGAGATATCTCAAATATATATTTTAATTTGTTCTCTCATTACCTTATGTGGAAGTTGTCTTAAATGCTAGGCTACTGCTCCAATGTTTTGGGACATGACAGTTCACCTTTGTACTTGACAAGTTTTGTTTAAACATCTTATATGGCTGAACTTTGTTAATTTATTAATTACAGAGCAAGAGGTAAACTGCACAACACCAAACTTAATTCTAGATGCAGTACTAAATGAGGGCATAACTCAAGCTTTTCCAATACACCGAAAACACTGATATGTATTAGACAATGTGGAAAATTCCCCAGGTATTTCCTGCATACAAAAAGCAAGACAAATCCAATGTGGCCAATTATTGCCCATCATTCAACACTTAATCATGGGTAAAATGATGGAAGATTTCATGAACAGTGCTTTCAAGCAGCACTTGCTTAGCAATAGCCTGCTCAGTGATGCTCAGTTTGGGTTCTGCCAGGGCTACTCAGCTCCTGAGTTCAATATGACTTTGGTTCAAACATGGACAAAAGAAGTGAATTCCAGAGATGAGGTGAAAGCGACTGCTCTTGATATCAAAGCTGCATTTTCCACAAGTGGTACAAAGGAGCCCCAGGAAAATTAGTCAACATGAATTAGGGGTAACTATCTGCTGGTTAAAGTCAAATGTAGCATAAAGGAATATGGTCGTGATCTTTGGAGGTTAATCATATCATCTGCATGAGCTCCATGGGGAAGGGTTCTAGGTCCAGCCACCTCCAGCTGCTTCATCAATGATCTTTCTCTATCATAAAGACAGAAGTTGAGATGTTTGCTGATTACACAATGCTCAGTGCTCTTTGTGTCTTCTCAGGCACTGAAACTGTGCATATCTAAATGCAGCAAGACGTAGACAATATTTCAGGTTTGGCTGACAAAAGTAACATTTGCACCACACAATATCCAGGCAATGATCATCTACAACAAGCGAGATTTGAACTGTCAACCATTGACATTCAATGGCTTTATCATCACTGGATTCCCCTACTATCAATATCCTGGAGGTTACCATTGACCAGAAACTGAATTGGACTGGTCATACAAACTACTGAGGCTACAAGAGCAGGTCAAAGGCTAGGAATCCTGCACTATGTAACTAACCTTCAAGCTCTTTGAAGCTTGTCGACTATCTACAAGGCACAAGTCAGGACTGTGATGGAAAACTCCGTACTTGTCTGGATGAGTGTAGCTCCAGTAACACTCAAGAAGCTAGACACCAATCAGGAATAATCTGCCCACATGATTGGCACCACATCCACAAATATTCATTTCCTACAGCACTGACACTCAGTAGCACCAGTGTGCACCATTGCAAGATGCACTGTAGAAATTTGCTAATGTGCCTCAGACAACATCTTCCAAGCCTATACACATTACCATTTAGAAGGATGAGGTCAGCAGCTGCATGAGAACACCATCACTTGCAAGTTCTCTTTCAAATCATTCAGCATCCTGGCTCAGAAATATATGGCAGTTTCTTCACTGTCACCGGAGTTAAAATCCTGGCACCACCTCTCTAATGGCATTCTGGATATACCTACACCAAATTCAAGAAGTCAGCTCACCACCACCTTCTCAAGAGCAACTAGGGATGGGCAACAAATGCTGACCCAGCCAGAGACATAAACATCCCACGAATAGGTAAAGAAAAATCTTTGTTGGAACTTAAACTCCGGTGTGGGAATCAACAAGTTCTCCAGTTCTTCAGGTTATTATGCATATTGCAGTACTGCATCCTTTGTATTAACAGTTATATACTTAGCCTCTTTCATCAAGTGCTTTGCTGAGCAATGCATTGTTACTGTTTCGGCTTTTCACTTCACTACTTTTGTCTTGCAATTTATACCTCAAGTTTATGCCTATGTCCGGATTGGGGGAAATGGGGATTGCGT